GATAGTACTCTGATTTGAATTATATAAGATGGTTTTGTTTATTAAGTATATATAATTCATTTCTCATCATATTCAATTCTTAACAAATTCTTAACTTGAGTATAGTATTAATAATTTTACATTTTGTAGTCTTATTTGTAGGTGAACTTAATACTCATCGCTTTGCAAAATTGGGATTCATAGGACATGCATTTTATTTGTTCATTTTGTTTGCCAATTGTCATTTACTATTAGTGTCAGAATTATTTTATTGAATTATTATTCGAAAATGGTTGAATAAAGTTTTTGATTTCTCTTTACATCATTTTTGATAGCTTTCTCGCTCATAACTTCAGAATTTATTTAACACAAGTACTCTTATTTTAGTGAAGTGATCGAGGCTGTAATATTTCTTTGCTGCAACTAAAGTCCATTGCTACTGGTACTATTGATAAATTCACTAAATCAAGAGGCTTTCTATATATTATGAGCAGTTCACTATAAGGCATTTCTTTGTAAAAAATAATTGTTAATATTTTGAACTCTTTTACACTAGAAAATGGTCATGTTAATGTCAGGGACCGTGCAAACTTATGTAGCATTACTAAAATTTTAATGCCAACTGTCAGAATTTTTAAAAAACCACGTGGCAATTAAACCAATCAGTGTGCAGAAGCTACATGCATCAAATCATATGATTTGTATTGATAATCAGACAAATCATGTAATTTACCTTTCATTGTCATTTATATAAAATAAAACTTTATTTCACTTCTCAAATACTATATACTTAATATGCGATCATTAACAGTGAAAAATAAAGTGGTATTTGGATTCTATATATAGCACGTCTAATTAGGCGGATATTTTTATAATCAATTCTGACCCATTCTGCGCAATTAAAGCCACAAGTGTTTTTTTTATTTGTTTACGTTACGTAATTTATAATTAATGTGCATCACAATATGACTCGCACACGATATTAGGGTTTCAAAAAACAATTGTCTCAAGCGCCCTGAACAACTCAAAATATCAGGTGGGCGAAAATACACTATTTGGAAAATTAAAATGTTTTTAAATTACCAGATATCTCTAAGGTTTATTAATCCAAAACATCAAGATTTACTTTGAAGGTATTAAGGTTGTTTTTAGTTTTGTCGAGCTCATTGTTAGGTTTGTATTATTATCTTTGCCGGTTATTGTTTGATATATTTGAGACTTATTATTATGAAAATAGTGTGCAACATTTTATTGAAATCGCTACAGTAAAAAAAAAAAAAAACATTCCTAATAAAATCTAATTAAATGAATTGAGTTTGACTGAAAATTAAAAAAAAAGAGAAATCAAAAAGAGAAAATCAATGCTATTTAACTACATCAAAATGAAAAGATTTATTAATTTTTTATGCTATTTCTTTGTTTCATAATTGATCTTTCTTTTTCGGATTTGACACATCGTATGAACATTAAATATCAACTCACCTTTGTTTCTTCAAATCTGAGTTTTTCAGATTTGAAACAACTAAGAGGTTCTTAATACCGAATTATATTGTAGTTCTTAATACCAAATTCATTACCACAGATATTAGACAATTAACAGATTTATTTATTGAAATTAAAAAAATTTGTGGAAATGAAGATTTTGATGAAGGAAGTGACGATTTTGCAAGTAGATATACTATTTTAGATAATAAAGGTAAAATTGTTTATTTTTAGGTATCTAAGTAAATTTCAAAAATAAAATAAACTAAATTCTCTAAATTTAATATAACTGTTGTAAATTAATTGTATACAATTAATTTCAAGCAGCTTCTGAAGCTTCAGAGAAAAAAATAGCAAAAATAGATGAATCTGATGAATCTCCAAAATTTCCAACTTTAACTCGAACACACCGTTTCCTTGAAAACGTCGATCAAAGATTTTGATACTGAATGATTTGCTTTTTAGATGCTTGCTAATATGCTACATATTACAAGGAAATAGTCTTGTCTAATTTTAACTAAAATTTGTACAAAAATATATTTTTTTTAAAATAAAATGAATAAATATAGAATAGGTATCACCAGCGAAATTTCGAAGGGCCCGTATTCACATACCGTATTTTCGCGAAATAACGCGCAGTGGTGTAATTTCGAACTTTGGCCTGAATTAAGCTTAATTCAGGCCAAAATTCTAAATAACGCCCCTGCGTATTATTTCAATTGCAAATGTGGCGCAGCAACACTTCATGTGACCAATCTGCAATGTTACTTTTAAGCACAACAAAAATACATCATTTTTTAGCACTAATTTATGTTACATAAAAAGCCACTCTAATTTAAAGTTCATGATTCTATATATATTTAAAACCGGATTAAATTTAACAACTAGTAGTTATCTTGGATTGCATTGTATCCTTATAGTGCGAGTTAGTATGTGCCTGCCAAGGAGTGGTCCTGTGATTTTCGAGAAAATTCTGCCTGAACCATGGCGCAAAAATTCACGGTCCCGTGACTAATTCAATAACAATGAAATTCTAATTTTCGTCTAAAAATTATGTTTGCATTAATACAAAGTAGAAAGAATATATCTAAATTTTTGTGCTGAAAACTT